AGAAATAAGGGGGAATAACAACTCCCGTAGAATTAGGAATTATTATGTTATCAGTATCTTTCAGATTTTGTTAGATTTCTTTTTATCTCTGTAAGCTTGCTATATATAAGCCACTAAGCATATGAATAAAGCATCGAAATATTACAGAGTGTTTTCTCAAATTGGAGATTCTCGATTGGTCTATTAGTGAGTGTTGTGAGATTCTTGCAGCATCTTTCTAGTAGAAGGTTTATCTTAGTTTCAGTTCCACCGAATCTGTTTGGGTCTCTATCATATATATATAGGTATCATATTTATACCAATTAAAATTAAATAAAATAATTTATTTAGGTTGTTTGATATATTATTGAGGTTTTAATTAGTTTATATTTATTTATTGATTGTTTTGAGAATTTTAAACTTGGATTTTAGTTGAAAATTGTATTATTTAAAACATATAGAATGTTTTTACCAATTAAATTTAAGTTAAATAACTTGGGTTATTTACTATATTATTAAGATTTTAATCAGTTTAAAATGTGAAATAGGTTAAGGATATATTATTAGAAAAATTTTAAAGCTGGAAACTTGTTATAAATTGAGATTTTACAATATTAGATAAAAACAATATTTTTATAAATATTTGTAATTTAAATGAGTTATTTGGGTAGAGGAAAATTATTATTTGAAGTAAGAATTTTTGGGTAGTAAATATATGTATATATATTAATAATAAATTCTATTTAATTTAAGTTAATTATTTGTATGTATATTAAATTGTATCTATATTATTTGTAGATTATCTTGTTCTTCAGAGTTTGTAATTTGTGCTCTTATTTCTTAAGCTGTAAGGTTATACTTGGAGTAGAGGTAACTGAGATTAATTTATTTTATATATATATGCTTTGGATTGTAAGGTGTTTATTATGTTTTTATTTTCTCAAATTAATTTGTGCCTGCAAATAAAGTATGTATTTTCTTATATGACAAATGTTGGTGAAGTGGGAAGTGTGTTGATTTAATTATGCATGAGTTGTGTTTTATTGGAAACTATGTTTTCTTGTGGTGTCGAATTTAATATACTAATATTATGTTATTAAATAAAATGAAAATGTGTTGTACTTGGTTTGAAATTATATCATCTTACCTTGAAGAACTATGATATTTTTAATATATAATGTAACTATGCAAGGGGTTCATATGTAGAGGTTGGGATTTTGTTATGTGGAGGATAATTGTTCTTAAAGCCTACACTATTAATGAGAGTATTTGGCCTTTTTGTTAGACCCCTCTAGTTCTTCCTTTTCCTTATCCCGAAATTGAGAATGAGCTCTTAGGTAGACACCTCTTGCACCATACTCCATTCTTAGATGGTGCAGGTGTAGGAGGGGGCCCGTTGCTTGATGTGAGTGGGGTGACCTTTGGCTAGGTTACTCAGCACAGAAAGCCCGGGTCCAAGTCAAGGAGTCATAAGGAGGACTATGGTGATGGGAGGGCATATTTCATTATGTTGTTGCATATGTGCACTTTGTATGAATTGTGTTATGGATGGTGAGACATACTCCTTTCATGTGGTAGTATCTATTAAAGTATCATTTATTACTTAAATTATATTTAAGCACTACTTCACCAACTTGCCATCTTATATGTCATAAATTAATACTTGGTTACTAGGACTTTATGTCTCACCCCCTATTCATCAGTGCCTTTCAAGAAAGCTATCTAGTTTGGCTCGGTGCGAAGAGAAGCAACTAGAGGCATAGGCTAGCATAGCCTAGTAATCCTTTTTTGGTTTAGGCATGTAATGTTATCTATATTGCCATCTTAGAGCCTATGATTTTGTTGACATATACTTTCTTTTGTTGGGTTGTTAGATGATTGTATTTGATGGAATGCTGTTAGAGTAGTTGGAGGCTATAGGACTCTGTTGTTTATGTTACTCTTATATGTATGACTTGTTGGCTGTCACACCTTACTATAATATTGACTTAGGTTCCTTTCAAAATCATTTTTGACCACATTGGATGGTCTTGGGCTTACTTTTTACCATAAAAACGCTAATTTTCGGATTTTTACTGTTCATCGGGTAAAAATCCAGTTTTTCTGGCCCAACTTCAAAAATTCATAACTTATTCTAAAAAAAATCCAATTTGGGTGGTTCAAAATTCTACTTAAAGCTCTTTAAGTCCTCTTTCAAGGAAAAATAATCTCATTGTCCAATTATTTATGAGAAAGCGTCAGGTTTTTGAGAAAACAACACTGTCCATTTGCCAAAAACCCTGATGTCCAGATTCTGACCATTAACTTTGAAAAATTATTATAAATCGTATACTGGTCCATTTTTAACGTATTAGCTATCAATTTGAAGCTCAGGATGTCATCTTTCATCATACCAGATTTCACGATTTAAAGCGTTCAGGAACATAATCAAAAAGTCACGTGAACCGGTCAGGGTCAGTGTGCTTCCAGCACTGTTAGTTTAATATTTACATAACCAAAATAAGCTCACGAATTTTGTGGCTAAACTCCACAAATCAACCTTCAATCTGCAGCTTCCCTTTTGAAGATTCAGGCCCTAAAATGTTACATGATTCTTGGGGGATGAGATTTTTGGAAATCCCAGTAGTAAATTAACCAACTATATCACCAAGCAAGCATCATTATTATGCATGATCACATTAGCTACTATGGATGAACTAACATGCTTATCATTTGGCAAACTCAATCATGCAAAGGCCAAAGCAAGATACTATAAAGAGCAGCCACATAACAATCAAGAGAGCTCAATCACAATAATAGCAATTAACCATACAATAATCAACAATGCTAGTTAGTGGTAGTAGCTAGGTTTAACTTACTACCTTGCTTCAAAAGTCTTAGCCTTTCTTCCTTCTCCTCTTTCCCTTGGCAAATATCAAACCCTAACCATGTGATTCAACAAAAATGGCAGCAAGAATCATTATCCAACCATGAAAAAGCAAGAACATACATCAAAATGATTCTTGAACCATAAAGTTCCCTCCTTTGTTCACTAGTTTTAGATTTGGTTCTCTTTAACCCTAAAAATCACTCCTTGACTTGTTCCTACATGGATTTTCATGTAGATTCCAAAAATGGGCTTAGATTTGTGTAAATAAAACTGATTCTTCTAGCCACAGACCGACCAAACCACTAGAGGTTTTGACCCAAAATTTTCAGCTTTGCTTTTAGGCTTCCAACACTTGTTTCTTTTAGTCTACCCTACACCATTCCTCATTTTAAGCATCATGGAAGCCTTAAAACAATGAAAAGCTCATCCTAGGGTCCAGTTCTTCACTTGGCCGAAAATAACTCTCACAACAACAACCATGAAAAATGCTTTAAAATCACTTAAACTCACTTGCCAACACTAGGATCTAGCTTGTGTTGTTGTGTCTTAGCAAGTGTTATGATCAAAACTTCTTTCCCCTTTTTATTAATCAGTTTGGTCCACATTAAGAGAGGGAAGAGACAGATTTTAAACCATAAAAATGAAAGAAACCAAAGCAAGAACACTTCTAGGACCAAGATCTAACCTTGAAACCTTGCTAGGATGATCAAAAGTGCTCCCTTTCTCCTTGTTTCCTCTCAAACTCTCTCTTTTTCTCTATTTTTCTCCCTTGCACGAAATGAACATCTGAAAATGGGGAGAGAAGAGCTTGATTAAGGCTTCAAAATATCCCAACCACCTTCTTTAATGATAGTCCAAGTGTCATTACCCTACTAAGTCTTGATTCCTCTCTCTTAATTAACATAATTCCAAATGAAATTATTTACTAAAGTCAAAATCCTCTCCATTCATGGAATGACACTTGGCTAATTCAAATCTTCTCCTTCAAGAGCTTGACACATGGCTCAATAGGATCCCTTGGATTTGCAAGACACCAATCTTGCTTTATCGGTATACTTTAGGCTCTGAGTTTAACTTCTTTTTTATAATTACAGTAACTTAGTCTCTGTAATTATTTTCTATCAGATCCTTAATTTATTCTCCTCATTATTGTCTTCCCAAATTGTCCTCTTTGTCTCAAAATTAATTTCCTAATATTTAAATAAAAAGGAAAATTAATTTCCTTCTCTTTAGGGATTTTTCCACTTTTCACATTTATTTGGAAAAATCTTGGACACTTGAGGGTTTCCATTTAATTCCATAATTCCTTATAATTCTTGGGATCTCATAGGAATTTTCTTGGAATTTTATTCCTCTTAAAATATTTATTTGGAATTTTCCAAATAAAATCCCTCAATTAGCCTAAATCACCCTTAAATTCTCTTATAATTTCTCTAAGGGTAATTTGGTCATAAAACCAACTTTATAATTTCATATAACTCTCAAAGGATATTATCCCTATTTTTCCTTAATTTTTCATGGCTCGAAAATATTTTTCCTTATTTACATTTGACCAATTTTCTTTAATTAGTCAATTTTCTATAATTGGCTTGGAAAATTATTGTAATTATTTTCCACCAAAATTCTTTGACTTTTCCTTATTACTTTTAATCCTCAATAATTTGAGAATATTTCTTGTCTCCAATTATCATAATACTGGATGTGACATGGGCTGGGCTAAGCACCTTGTGTTCTTGTGCTCTAAGTTTTTGTGGGATGAATGTTTATGTTGGGCTTGTAGGCAGTTACTATGCCCTAAGTCCTTGTTCTACGTGTTGTTAAACTCATGGGTGTTTTATGTATCCTGAGCCTCTTAGGATGTTTTCAAAATAAGACAAACTCTTTATAACCATGGTAGTATTTTAACACTCTAACTCAATTCTTTTTCTACCATGGCTATCATCTTCGAAATGGTTTTATAATTATGTATTAAGAAGAGGCATTTTCAACTTGGTATTAGTTTTAAGGTTTTTGTGATCCCTAGTGCATTTGATATAGTATCTATGGCCATATACAATTATTACACTTAAGTTTCCCTTCAATTTCTCTTCTTTTCCCCTTTCTTAAGTGTTTACCTCTCTTTTTCTGGGGTTCTACCCTTAGGTGGGGAGAGATGGTAAGTACCAAGCGTACTACTAATGCTAGTGAGGGAAGTCGCCAGCCACCTAATAGTAACAGCCAAGCTAACCAGACTAAGGATGAAATCTTGAGGCAGTTACAAGCTGTAATGCTTTATGTCGATGAGCAGGTTAGAAAAATGGAAGATAACAAAAAAAAGCAGGGAAGCTATGATCTCTCCAAAGATAGAAGGTCATCATGATGGTGATAGCATCGGACACAATGTGGGTTGATCAAATGAGTAGAAAACAATAAATGAAGAAGAGGTTGCTGAGGTATTACCTAACATTCCTATAATAACAGTTTGAAAGTAGATAGGCCGTTTCAACACCCCAACTTTTAAGGGCAGTCTGAATTTTGTAGAAGCAGAGGCTTGGATAGACCGATTGGAGACTCTGTTTAGTACTGTGAATTGTAGTTCCCAGCAGAAGGTGCATGTTGTGAAGGTTCTATTAGAAGGAAGAGTAAAGCAATGGTGGTATAGTGTGAGAACTATAGATAATAGGAGGATGGTTTGGAATGAATTCAACAATTTGTTCTTTGATTACTTCTTTCTAAGGGAGGCAAGACAACAGAAGGAAGTAGAGTTTTATGCCCCGCAACAGGAAAACATGCATGAGGATCAATTTATTGCCCAATTCATAGATCTATCTAATTATATGGCATACCTAAACTATTATCGAAATACTTGGTGGATGGCTATTCAGTTAATGGAGAAGGCTAGACTAGAGATTAAGCAACAATTGGCCATGATAGAGGTCACTACCTTCGAGAAGATGTGTACTCACATCCGTCAAGTTGCATATAGGATGAGAGAAGCTTATGAGTATCGTAGAAGAGACAACCTTGGGGGCTTTAGTCACCAGACAGGTGCCACAGGATCTAGAGGGCAATTTAGTAGCTATATAGGACCTATTAATAGAGTGGGGAAGAAAAATAGCTAATCAAATACTAGTAGTTTTGGCAACAAGAAACAATCCCATCAAGAAAACTCTCAACAGAGGAACCATTTTCATGGCGCTCAGACCCAGAGAATTCATGGAGGAGGGAGTCAAATCTCCTAGCATGGCTCTGTAGCATTCACCCCCAGCATGACTAACCATCCCGCTCGTCCTAGATGTCGGAGGCAATACTTCAGAGAGTGCTGGAACTGCTTTAATTGTGGAGAACTGGGACACTTAGCTAAGTATTGCAACAAGGCTAAGAGAAACAACCAGACTCCTAGGTCATTTGTACTAGGACATGTGTTTATTGATGATATCCTCATATACTCGAAGAGCAAAGAGGAGCATTGTAAACACCTTCACATTGTATTACAAATATTAAGAGAGAACAAGTTGTATGCCAAATTGAGCAAATGTGAGTTTTGGTTGAAGGAGGTAAAGTTTTTATGTAATGTGGTATCTGCTGAAGGTGTGGCCGTGGATCCAAACAAAGCAGAGGCAGTGTTGAAATGGGAAACTCCCAAGTCCATGACTGAAGTGAGGAGCTTTTGGGGTTAGCCAGGTATTACTGCCATTTCGTTAAAGGCTTTTCTCAGATAATCATGCCATTAACTAACCTAATGAAGAAGGACAAACCTTTTATATGGATAGAAAAGTGTGAAGCTGCATTTCAAGAGTTGAAAAAAAAGTTGACCACGGTGCTTGTTCTCACTATACCTGAACCCTCACAACCGTACATAGTGTACATGGATGCATCTTTGAAAGGGTTGGGCTGTATACTGATACAAGATAACAAGGTGGTAGCTTATGCATCCAGACAATTGAGACCTCACAAGGAGAATTACCCTACCCATGACTTGTACAGCATGCCCCCCTAGGGTTTCAAGCTCCCAAAAGTTATTAAAATCTATAACCAAGCTCAACAACAACAAGGACAGTGAAAACTACATTAAAAACTATGAACATACCTTGCTTTAGAGTTTGATCTTGCATATGACTGCTTGGCCTTTCTCTCTCCCTCTTCTTTCTCTCTCTAGAATCCATTTTACTAGAGCTTCTCCAAGTTTACTCTAGGACGAAAATGAGGGAGGGGAGGGGGTATTTATAGAAAACAAGACTGAATCTGGGCCGTTGATCTTAAAAATATGTGGTTTGATCTACATCGTCCATTTTCTCTTTTAATCTTATGATGACAAGTGTCCTATGATATCATGCTTATCTCATCATGATGACATCATGCTTACATCATCAATCCACATGCTTTTAATCTGACCGTACACGTGTCTTGCATCTAGCTGTACACGTGATACCTTCTTTTCCCATCTAGCTGTACACTTGTCTCCTCTATATTCCTTCATCATTTTGGCATTGAAATAGGTAGGAAATTAATATAAAATTCGTGCAAAATACAACCCTTAGGTATTCCTTCACCTATCTTGCCATTCTGTACCGTATAAAGTACTTTTTGGGCCCTGACTTACCTGGGACCACTGGGACATGTTCCAGCACTATTTTCTCACCTCAAATAAATCCACATGACATTATATAATATGCCTCAAGAGAGAGTGATGCTCTTCTCTTATTCTTCCATTAAAATAATTAATAATATTTATTTCGGAGTGATCTTAACCGAATTTTTTTACCGATCCACAACTCCAAGAATCTATCTCCAGGTGCCAATACTATTTATTTATCACTAAAATTCCTCTAATTTTTCTTAAGCCAAAAGTCAACCTTTAGACAGTTGACTTTGACTTTTCCCGGATAATATATAAATAGGCTTTAAATTCTATTAAAGCCAACCTTTTTGCTTTTTAGGGACAGGATTATTTTTAAAACCTGTGATAATTCCTAAAGTATTTTTATTCCATTTTGTCCGATTATCTAAGGCCTCCCTATACTTAAAATAATTCATCTTTGAAAATATTCCAAATCAGTCAAAACCCTAGAAATTCTGTAAATTCCTTCTAGGGGCATTTTCATTATTTTTAGCCTCATACATGCCTCTAAACTTTATTCCCATTTTTTCGGAATTTTTCTAAAGTGGTCAGGCTTTAACCTACCATTTCCCATTTTCAAGGATTTTTTTGGGATTTTCGAGCATAATTTTCATTTTTGCCTTTACCAGCCCAAAACATTATAAAATTATGATTTTGCCCCTGGTTTGGCTTAACCTCAAAATTCACCTCATTGAGGCCTTCAACATAACCTTTGGCTTACATTTATCTCTATTTCTCATTCTTAGGCCTAGAGACTACTTTTGAGTCTCTAACTTCCTCTTTTCTCAGTCCTAGAAAATTTTCCTTTTGCGATTTAGTCCCTGGGAATCCTACTATCCTTCCAGGGAATCTCTGGAACCTCGTCAAAAAGGGTTTGGTAGCCTGCTCATTTCAGGCTAATTTCAGTACTTCTAGGTCCAAAATTCGGGATGTGACCAATTACAAGGTGTTTATTATGTTTTTATTTTCTCAAATTAATTTGTGAAAGTATGCCTGTGAATAAAGTATGTATTTTCTTATATGACAAATTTTGGTGAAGTGACAAGTATGTTGATTTAATTATACCTGAGTTGTGTTTTATTGGAAACTATGTTTTCTTGTGGTGCCGAATTTAATATACTAATATTATGTTATTAAATAAAATGAAAATGTGTTGTACTTTGTTTGAAATTATATCACCTTACCTTGAAGAACTATGATATTTTTAATATATATTGTGACTATGCATGAGGTTCAAATGTGGAGGTTGGGATGTTGTTATGTGAAAGATAATTGTTCGTGAAGCCAACACGACATACCTACACTACAGATCAAAGTGCTTGGCCTTTTTTGTTAGACCCCTCTAGTTCTTCCTTTTCCTTAGCCCGAATTGAGAACGAGCTCTTGGGTAGACACCTCTTGCACCATACTGGCTTGGACGGTGCTGGGGTAGGAGGGGGCCTATTGCTTGATGTGAGTAGGGTGACCTTTGGCTAGGTTACTTAGCATAGAAAGCCCGGGTCCATGAATGTTTATGTTGGGCTTGTGGGCGATTACTGTGCCTTGAGTGCTTGTTCTATGTGTTGTTAAACTCATGGGTGTTTTATGTGTCTTGAGCCTTTTAGGATGTTTTTGGAATAAGACAAACTCTTTATAATCATGGTAGTATTTTAAAACTCTAGCTCAATTCTTTTTCTACCATGGTTACCATCTTAAAAATAGTTTTATAATTATTTATTAAGAAGAGGTCTTTTCAACTTGGTATCAGTTTCAAGGTTTTTGTGATCCTTGGTGCATTTGATATAGTATCTATGGTAATATACAATCATTACACTTAAGTTTCCCTTCAATTTCTCTTCTTTTCTCCTTTCTTAAGTATTTACCTCTCTTTTTCTGGGGTTCTACCATTAGGTGGGGAGAAATGGTAAGTACCAGGCATACTACTGATGCTACAATTTGACTATGTTACCAGGCAAATTAAATCACGAAATCTGGCATGCTTATAGTTCACGTCCAGTACTTCAAATCAATAGGTAGCACATTAAGATTGGACACCAGTACGATTTATGGTGATTTTTCAAAATTAGTGTTTGAAATCTAGCAAAGATTTTTACCAAGGTAATAGTAGTAACTTCCATAAAAATCTGGCACTAATTCAAAAGGAATTGTTTCACAAGATTATTTTTCCTTGAAAGAGTATTCAAAGATCTTTCTATAGAACTTGGGAGCGCTCCGTTTTGATTTTTCTAGAATAAGTTAAGAATTTTTAATATTGGATAGAAAAACTGGATTTTTACCAAATGAAAAGTGATTTTTCAAAAATTAGCATCAGTTTGCCTATTTTTGAGTTTTAGGCGATCCAAAATAGTCAAACTTGATTCCAAATGAACCTTAAGGTATCCTAGAAGTAAGGTGTAACACCTTGAGCACGTGATTTTAGGAATAAAAATGGGTTAGTATGATAGAGCTTGATGAGAAGTTTGATGAAGGAAGTTTTGGGATTTGAGAGCTACTTATTAAGAAAATTACTCTTGAACTTCCTTATTCTTCCCATTCACTCTTCTCTCCCTTTTCTCTTCACTTTTGTTCTTTGCTCCCTCTTGCTGGTTTCACTGTGGCCAATTTCAATGATAAGAAATAAAGAAGTGTTATTGCTTTAAGTGACCTCATATCGCTTATAAACTATATTTGTTAATTTACTCAAGTCTAATATTGTTTTATTAGCTTCCTTTTGATCCATTGGCCTCAAATACTTGTTTTTTTTTTTTTCCCTTCCATGAGATTATGCCACGTATGTACTGGAGGGGGTATTTGATTGTCCATTTCAACATAAAATTACACTAACTATCCTTTACTCTTTAATTAGTTAATATGAGTTTAAGCTTCCACAAATGCTTTTCGAATATTTTTTGATCACATAATTGATGCAAGACCATCAATAATTCATATTTATGAGAGAGTAGTTCCCTAATTTTTCTTAATTTCGAATTTGATTGATAAGTATATTTCCCATAATTTTTTAGAAAATGCCTTATTCTTTGGCCAAATTCTCTTAAAATATTATTTAAACTAAATTTTTCATTTTTGGGAACCTATTTGAGGCCTTCTTGTACTTTTAATACTCTCCAGGTCCTTATTGTAGGATTTAATTGTTGAGAAACCTTAGTCCTAAGTGTAAGACATTTCTCATATTTATCAATTTTTTCTAGATTACCCTTGTTGATACTCCCTCAACCATAATCAAGTAGGAGAGGAAGGGAGATATTAAATAAGATGATTATAATATTTTAGAAAAAATATCATATTTTTTATAATTAACTAACTTACCTAACTTTCTTAATCTAATCAGATCAGTTAAAAAGGTCATACATTAAGGATAAGAAGATTTATTAATTTTGGCTAATTATTCTTTGTTTAGGGAAAATATAACAATCATTTAAAATCCTTTTTGATGAAATATTCCCACTTGTATCTCAATTAAGTCTCAAATATGGTATGGGGAATCATACTTTACCTTTCTCG